ACCTTCAAGTGTAAAAATTTTCTTCCTTGTATCTAATCTAAATCTACCCTCTTCCAGTTTAAAACTATTACCCTTTGTCCTATCGCTACACTCCCTGATAAAGAGTCCCTCCTCATCTTTCCTATAGGCTCCCCTCAGGCACTAGAAGGCCGCTATAAGGATCTCCCTGGAGCCTTCTCTTTGGGCTGAACAGCCCCAACTCCCTCAGCCTGTCCTCACAGGGCGGGTGCTCCAACCTCTGATCATCTCCTCTGGACCTACTCCAACAGGTCCATGTCTTTCTTACACCGGGAGTCCCAGAGCTGAACACAGCACTGCAGGTGGTGTCTCACAAGAGCAGAGCAGAGGGAGAGAATCACCTGCTGGCCACGCTGCTTTTGTTGCAGGCCAGGATACGACAGGTTTTGTGGGCTGCGAGCACATGCTGCTGGCTCATACTCAGTTTTGCATGCACCAACAGCCCCAAGTCCTTCTCTGCAGGGCTGCTCTCAATTCACTCATCATCCAGCCTGTATTTGTGCTTGGGATTGCCCTGACCCAAAGGAAGGAATTAAAGTTTAGCTTTCAGATACCTCAAAATGTAGAGAGGGGTAAAATAAACATAAGCAGAAGCTACAAACAACTCAACTAATCATATTAGAGTATGACTAAACAACTCTCAAGTAAGACTCTGCTTCAACAACTCTCACAATAAAGCAAACCTCTGAAATAACTAATTTTTACATAAAAACTGAGGACTTTGACACATTATCATCACCAGAATTTATTAACAAGTTGAAGCTTGTCTGCTGATCTATTCCAGCCACACAAGGAACACACACTTGGCCTCTGGGGAAAATGAGTATTTGAGAATATCTCGTTATCTAAAACAGAGTAGCACTTTACATGAAAGTTTGCCAGACACGAATCATGAAGAATAAATCCCATCTCTGCAAAAACATATTTTCGTAGATGCTGAACCAATTGTCAGCTCCCAATACAAGTCAGGCACACATATACAAAATCTAAAAATGTTTGAGTCGACAATTTTAGTATCCTGCTTGGAGAAAGATTTACATTCAGTGTTTCAGTGAACTAACACTTTCAAACTTATTACTTCACAGTTCTCTTCTTCCTCCCCTCTCTACAATTTCCAGTTAAGAATGAAGATGACTTTTGCTGGAAGACATACCCATACAAAGTCTGAAATTAAAATGTGGCTAAAATAATTTAGGCAATTGTTTTAAATATACCTGAGAATCTTTGCTCAGTTCCTATAAAATGTTTGGCAACAAAAACCCCTGTTCTAATAGTTATAATTTAGCCATGCTCACTCCACATGAAAAAGCATTGCTAAAGGTACAAAATGTCTTTTTATTCTGTCCATTAATACTGCATAATAGGTAAATTTATAGCATATGCCTTTTATCTAGCTTTAAAGTAGGAGCTGTTAACTCTTTTTAAATCCCCTTGAATTTGCTAATAGGTTAAACTCTAGAAAAATGTTGCTCATTTACATATTGTTTTTTACCAGTTCTTTACAAATTCACCAGTTATTAGCATCCAGCTATACAGAATAGTAGGAAGAAATATTCTAAGTGGTTTTGAAAACTGTAATAAAGATACATATCTGAAAGCAGGGCAAAAGTGAATATGATTCTGAATGCTGGTCACATTTGAAAAAGGAAAACCAAATGCTTTTGTTCTCATTTGAAAATCATGTCTTGGCTATGTCAATGGTCATAAATCCTGAGGTTTACAGACATCACATTGCTTCAGTCTCATAATAAAACATTCAAACAGACATTTCTGTACTCCACAGTGCCATAAAACCATGTGCATTTAGCACTAAATGCTGCCTTTCAGGTTAAGCTGGAAAAGGAAATCAATCCTCTGAAAAACCAACAGTCATACATTGCCCCTGCAAATCAGTTTGAGGAGCACCATTAAATTCCTTTCTCTTTTAATGTTCACAAATACCACTGTAATATCTCAGAATCACCTACTATGCAGAACATCACGGCAAATATCTCTGAGTGAAAAAGTGAGCCACACCATTCCACATTTGATTCCTCCTTCTACTTATTTTTTTTATTTCAATATATTCTGTTAACAGATATTCAAACAAGTGTTACCCATTTCAATTTAAGAATTGGCTACGGATTTTTACTCTAAATTTTCCAATTTCGAATGCAGGAACCGAATGTTAAGAGTTACTCGACTACAGGACTGAGTTCCAGTTGATGCCCATTTGCAGTCTCACTCAAAATAATCACACAACCTAATCACACCACTTTTTTGCTTCAAAAAACTGAAAAGAGTCCTTAAAATCTCTCATCATGAAGCACCTTTTCCAGTCTCCAATATTCTCTTGACTCTTCTCTGAAACCTGTACAATGTTTATCCATACTAACAGGTGAAAGACCTTACAAAATACTTGTACCACTGCCAAATGAGAGGCACCCTCAACTTCTGCCCAGCTTCGGTTCCCAGACTAAACACCACTGTCCTGAAACCCAAGGCCTGCAAGGCCTCATTAACCCTAAAGCAAAACTGAATATTCCCTTTGCTCCACCTTACCAAGCAACCCATATAATCAGTGTCAGGCACCTAACTTCTACTGCTTGCCCCTGTTCCTGACTCTTACCTGGGGAAATTACCTGATTATACCACATTTTCTTTGAGATTACTGATTAATAATGGAAGACAATCAAGAATTAAATCTTGCGATATACTGTAAGGATCATGTACTTGATAAAATTTCTGTTTGCTGCTCCTGACTATGGCACTCAGAAAAAAGCGAAATGTCACTAAAGTCACTAAAAATCTAGACTGGTTTGTTAACGGCAGGTAAATATATTCCTGATTTCTAGTAAACAAACAAGGTGACAGCTATCAGATATTGAGAATCATCCTTTCTACCACTTCTTAATTCATTTAGTAAGTGCCATACTGGGTCTAGAAACTAGCACAGCAAAAAATAAACTACATTGCAAACCATTTCTCTCACAGAAGGTCCAGTGATCAATTCCTTATCACAGAAATGCACTTTAAATCATCCATGTTCTTTAATTGCAAATACATGTCATCTAGCGTGCTTTAACAGTCATTCCATTATTTAACCCATCATCAATCATCACCATCCAGGGAATCAGCCTTCACTTTGCTTTTTCTCACTCTTAAATATGTAGCGTTCTTTTAGATTTCCTGTATTCTACAGCTAAATCACTTGTTTTACCAGCAGGTCACCTCACTTCTTCATGGAACAGAAGCAAGAGAAGGCTTTGCTCTTGTTTCTCAGGCTGTTCTTTTCTCCTGAGCAGACAGTAACTACACAGAGAAGTCACTTCCAACTTCAAAAAGACAGGAAAGGGTTAAAACTGAAATCTAGCCCTATTCATTAGGTGTGTAACTACCACTGGCCCATTTATTTTGGGGCCAAGTGGAAACTTCACAATTTCAGGTTCAAATTTACTTAATCTACAACTACGATACGTTAAAAAACTCCGTGAAGCTGGAGAAGGGCCACTGCTTTTTGCATCTAGCTCTACAGGTAGGTTCAACTAGATCAATTTTGACATAAGGTGGTAGAATAGCAGACAGCAAGCACTCAGATATTGTTCTTTCTGGTACTTTGAATGGAGACTTCTGCAAGAGACAATAAAACCTCTCTGCAATTTTAGCTAACACATCCAAACCTAAATGAATGTATACAGCTCATTTCCTTCACCATTTACATGTGGCTTACAGTATTGTGAGAAGTTTGCTCTATCTGTAGTTTTATGTTTAAAAAGAAACGAGGTTTTAGTCTCTAAAATCCTACCTAGCACGCTGCAGAAGGTCAGCCCTCACCAATAAGTAGGAGAAGGGAGAGTAAATAAAAAAAAATCACAGCCAGATCTGCTGAACAACACAGATACGCGTTGAGGCAGCTACAATGATCAAAAGAACATTCAGAAACAAAATTACAGTACATCAGTTCAATCCGAATTCCCTTCCATCACCATCCCTTCCACTTTATATATGATGAAAATTACTTGGTAAAAGGGAACAGGTGCAGATTTACAGGTCCCAAACCATAAACTCAAGAATACATACATTTCTTTCTGGTTCAGCCAAGTGAGGGAGGAAGCCTTCTGCAAAAACGAGCTTCTAAATTACCTTAAAAGGGCCCCACAGACAGGGCGGTTAGCTGAGTACTCCAGCCAGTCCAGGTAAGGAATCCTGCACAGGTGCATTCTGATCTGAACCAGGCACGTTCATCACCAACATCTCGCTCTTGCAGGCTGACAGCTATTGTAACTGAGTGGAAGCTTTAAGCAGTTTCTTTGTGTGTCCCAAAGCTGCCTTTCTCAGCTACAATAGGCATGGCAACAGGGTCACTTCCAAAATACTGTGGCTATTAAGGGAGGGTGAAGGCCAGGTGCAGAGGTTATGCTATGCTTCCTTGAGGAAAGAAACGCATACAAGTTCCAAGATTTGACAAAAGACAGATCAATCCAGGTAGAAATACTGTTTTTCTTAATACCCTGTCTTGATTTTGAATATGAAGCTTGAGACCTTGCATTTTTAGCAGCTATAAGACAGAAGCATCAACTGTAGCCTTTCCTAAATATCAGCATCACAAAGTAGTAAGAGGTCTTAAAAAGTATGACTTAAGCACAATAACCTGACAACATAAATTAAAAATTACTCAGCAATACTTATTAAAAAAAGAACAAGACAAAAGAATATAAATTAAAAGAAAACATGACTACCATTCACCAGAGTAAGACAGAATCCAATTTAGATGGATAACCAGGGGGAATCAAAAGGGAAGACCACACTACCTCCTAATTCAATACGCAAGTAGTATGAAAGCTTTGAAGAGCTGAGAAAAATACAGCCATCAGAGCAAAAGAGCCTGCAGCCAGGAGCGATGAGGCGTGTGCATTCCTTCTGTGTGAATGAACAGTTTCCTGAAGGAATTTATGCATGTGCACGCACCTATTTATGCCTGTATATAACTAAATAAATTTTACCTGAGCAGGAGGTACAGCAGCTGCTGGTAAAGGATTAGAGATCATTGGGCCAAAGATATCCAGGTCATCATTCAGCGCTGCGACAGCAGCAGTGCCTCCATTTGCAACAGATGTTTCAGCTGGACCATCTTTAAAAGACAACAGAATCACATTTAAAGTGAACATTGTTAATATTTTTAACAGCATGAGAATAATTAAAGCTGCACATTCCCTCCTACTCTGTCCCCATCAAAGAAGTACCCAATTTCTGAGATAAAACTTTTTCAGACTGTGATATTATTCAGATCTTGTAATGACTTCTTCCCCTAAAAAGATAGAATAGCAGCGTGCTTCAGAAAAAAAAAAGAAAAAGCAAAAAAATAACAAAACACTTCCCTAAGGACAGCCACACCAACTTATCAGTACACATTACTCATTTTTCAAGTGTCTTTTTCAAGCACGCCAAAATTTTTATTGAGAATTTAAACAGAGATGTCTTACGGAGAAGGCTCAAGCCATGTATCAGACAAAATACACTGACCTGCGTTCAGGAACTAAAACTTTTATTTTAGAATCCACAAAGTTATTCTTGATATGCTAATTTACTCAAGGGTATGTAACTAAAATTTGCATGAGGAAAAAAGTCCCTCCTTCTCCCTTTTTCAAAAGTACTTTGCACTGATGTTCTTCTACAGCTGCTAGGCCCGTGGAGCTAGTGAGGACCTACAGCTCCATGCAGAGTTAAACCTTCTGCAGCCTTGGTGACTGTAACCACTCTAACACACGAATACATTGAGTGATCTAGGTGAAAGCAGGTATGTGCCTACTGAAAAAAAGGGGAAAAGAATTAGGCTCTGAGGAAAAGTGCAAGAAAATACTTTAAAAGATGTAAGGATGAAAACATGATGAAAATGTTTTTAAGGAATAGAGCAACATTTCTCATTTGTTTTCAAGCTGAGAACATCCGGCTAATAAATTATACTCCTAAGCATACCACAAGTGGGTTGTCATTACACAGAGCTCAACACATACAAAAGTGAGTCTCAATTCTGCTGAACACAATGACAACTGCATAACGTTAGCAGCAAATTTAAGAAAGCTTTTTTAGGCAAAATAAGAAGTCTCAAAGTATCCAGCACTCACTGCAGAAGTTGGACTCCTCTGGCAAGAACAAACGAGATGAATTAAGTCAAAACTTTCTCTCCAAACGAACCACCATGACAACTGGCATGGCTGTTTACATATCATGAGAAGATTAGTATTCTAAAATCCCCAGATTACAGTATACTGAAAAAACCTATTAATATCATAAAACAATTTCTATCCGATGCTTTAGGATGTTTAAAGAATAAAGATCTTTCTAAGCTGCACGAGCTGTATCCACTGTTCTCACTATTCAGAGTAGATTTCTGTAAAGCAAATTTTAACTTACCTAGCATCCTAATTGAAGGATTTGGATTGTTTTATTTGTTTTTAAAGTCACACAATTACACGTAGGTAGCTAACTTCACATATATCCCTCAGAAACTTCAGACATACATTTACAAACTAACACAGCAATATATTCCAAATTTTAAACACAACAGAATGCAGATTGCCACCTTTAAACTTTAAAAAGCATCAAGAACATTAAAACCCAGTCATTATATATTTAAGAAGAACAGTCACTTCCTCCTTTTACTAAACTGTAAGAAGTTATTTTCCAGTGTCCTGCCCCCATGACAGATAGATTATCTACCCAGGTGAAAAGATCCATTTCAAGAGCAGAGATTCAATCACTGGTACATCAGTATTAACAGTTTAGTGATGACATATGAAACATGTGCCTCACCACCCCAGAGAAACATGTAAGGCTGAGGGCAGATGGGAGTTTTAGGCTCTAGCGCTAGGAACTTGAAAGTTTCTAGAACTCTATCATGGACAGAGAACTGGTCTGACTAGTAAAGAGTATGGTGGTCAAGACCCAGTATTTAACTAAAATCAAATCATAAGAAGTTTCCAACACTTATTCAAAATAATTCAATGCCATCTCTCATGTAATTGCAACGCGCTCATCTGCTATAGACTAATCACAGAAGAACAGGTTTGTTTTTTTTCTAAGAAAAAAAGATGTAGTGGAAAAAACCAGTGAGTTTATTACTTAGAAATAAGGTCTCTTTGCTCTCCTCTACTTTTTTATTGAAGCAAATAAATAACTGGCAGGCTTTACCAAGCTTTGTCTCCCTGCACGTCAGATATTATCATTTTTCATTACTTTGTTGTGACACATGCAAACTTACTGCGGTTGGAGACTCTCCTTTCCGGTAGTCTAGGACACTGACAAGTTGGAGCAAAATAGCAGAAGCTGTTAGACTCACCAGTCACTTCACCAGCCTGGAAATCACTTGACTGAGGAAACTATCACAGGAGACTGGCAAGATTTTGGGCTGTTAAAACAAGAAGGCACTGCACTCTGAAACGATCTGCTCATAAATTCATCACTCAGATGGCCTTCTCATTTCTGTCTGCCTTCCATCTCCATGGGAAGGTGTTCCCCCTCTTTGGCTGCCTTGCGTGAAAGTGTTTGTTTATTTTAAAGGTAACGACTGTCAGTGCTCTATATTTGAAAACTTGACACAGAAGTCAAAATCTGTCAATGTGGAACATGTCAGAAGCTACCACTGTCCATCCATATCTGAATTCAGTCTTACTGTAGAGATGCTAACCTTTGTGTCTCGGTACATACAGGAAATGTGGCACAACTACAGAAACCATAAACTTTGAATTGACTGAACTGACTTCAGTATACGTAAAATCCCCAGCAAATATTTTAATTTTTAAAATATTTTTTAAAAAAATATTTTTAAGTACTTACTGCACCTTTTTCCTACAGGGAGTTATGAAATAACTAAGTGGGAGGGTGCTGGTTTGTAATTCTGTGGAAGCTATATGCTTGCTTTTGTGACTACACCATATACACAAATTATTTTATATTCTAATCTGGTATCAAACATGAACATTAATAGGCTGGTATTTGCTAATTCTCAAATCCACTTCATATCAATGGGAAAATGGTATCAAATCGTGCATGACAGCAATGGCAAGCAGACCCAGTAACAATGACTGAAATACCTTGAAGGCAGGGATATCAGAAAGACAAAGCGAGGGACACTCACGAGGGACATTCAGCAAGTTTATTTATTGCCCAACTTGCACAAAGTTTGTGAAAATCCCTGTGCTGTCCGCAAAAACTAAGGCCTAACAAGTCCACCAAAGCAAAATAACCATGTGAATTGCTTGGCAACATTAGACCTGCTGGGTAAACCGTGAGCAGCATGAACGACCACCACAGGACCGAAGTAGCCACTTCAGCCAATTTTTTTGCGTCATGATTTGACTTTTGCTGGAGGATTGCCGTTCTGACAATTCTGAAAAGCAAAGTTACAAACTCATCTATGACGATGCCAAAGCTACTTACAACTCAGTGCAAAGGTCTCTTCCTTCCCTTACTTCTGTTCCAATGAATGGAAGTCAAAGGACAGCAAAACAATCGTATGTATAATTTGCTCCACCACTCTATCCACACTATTTTTTTAATATATATGTAAATAAATATGCTGGGAAGTTAAGTAACAAGCTTCTTTTGAGGTCATTTTGCAGACAGGCAGTTACAAAAACATCTCCCAAAGGTTCACTGTTTCGGATTAATTTTGGAAGGAACTGTGCATAATTTTCATGCAAAAGGATTGTCTGCAATTAATAATTTAACGTTCTCATTTTCTCAGTGAGGCAAATGTATTTAAAAAGTATCTCTCTTGTTGTATTCCAAAGTGGTTCAGTTTCCCTGAATGTAAAAATGTTTAACATAAGACTGAAAATTTAAATGTAATCATTTCCTAAAACAAGCATTTCACATATTTAGAACATTCACAACAGAATGCGCTTCCAAGAACAACAGTATTTTTCAAGTATTTAATATGCTGCTTATAAATTAATACTAAGAAAACCCAGGTTTTTGATAGATCACTTCTGTAAGAGTGTTATTCGGTAATGTACATACCTTTCATCTCTTACTGAATTCCAAACTAAAAATAAGTATTTCCCTGTCTGTATAAGAGCAGAAACTGCTGAAGAATTACTGTTTACAGCACGGTTTTAAGCCTGTATGAGTACTATCAACAGCTAATCTTGTCTTACTGATTTCTCAAAAATGTAATAGTTGGAATATTTATATCTATTAAAAAGCAAATCTGAAAACATCTTCCCCTCATGAAACTGAAAGATTCCATGACCAAATTTCAGAATATAGAAGAAGCCTAGCAGTGTTTTCACTCCATCTTATTACATGCAGCAATACTTCTTTTAAAAATATATGTGCAGGCATGCAGCTATACAGACCTGTATTTCAACATAATAGTTTACACTTCTTACACAGATTATGGATATTCTCAGTTTCAACGCATCAGGTCATGGATTAGGTAGCACTTCCTCCTTCCCCTTCTCATTTTAAAGTATTTCTATAGCATAGGAAAGATACTCCAGAAGAGTTTTGAGTTCCAAATTATCCTAAGTATACAACTTCCCCTTCATTTTGTGCTGCCTACCATTAAAAAATTATTAGAAGAGACGGTGTGTATTTGACAGAAGGCAACACAGCTGTAGTCTTTAAAGGGAACAAGCAAAAATAAGATAAAACTACATAGGCCTGTCCGAATATTTTGAGAAATTTATAGCTTCAATCCTCACAGAATTACTTTGCAACAAGTAAATTTTAATCGACAGTACTTCCATCCCTTCTCAGGAGAACACATCTGTAACTCAGAATGAAGCATTTCAAGTGGCAGAAGCCACTGGGACGAGAGCATCGGGACGGCAGAGCTTCCACGCTCCGTCACAGAAGGTGACACGGAAAGGCAATAGATGCTGCTCTTCACTGCTGCTCCTAGCTATGGTCCCAAAACTTCTCACCATTTATGACATTATGACAGATAATATCCGACTGCTGTCTTGCTACACTGTGCAACAGCAGATGCTGCTTCTGATTTCAGATTAGGAAGTCTTGTTTAAATTTGATAGCAGAAACAAAAGCTATTTATCAGGATGCATTCAGTAAGTGAAGGGTTCCAGTTTACCTCTACAATGCTTTTCTGTATGTATTTTTTAATGCCTGACATGACAACTTCCAATTCAGTGCTGCCTTTGTTGAGAAAGTTTTCATATATATCATTAATCCTTGGTATATTTATCCATACCAACAGGGAGAATGACCAGCAGTAGGGCTTCAAAGGGACAGTAAGAAAAGGAAACAGCAAGAAAGAAGACCTGCTCTTAAACTTGGCCTTATGTTCCTGAAACTCATTTCCTATGGGGCAAACTATATACAAGAACTTTGTTACTAAGCTGCCACAGATTTTTGTATAAACAATCATTTATGACAGCCATACCAAGACTTGCAATAGAGGGAGAATATGCATATGATTCTGCGATTACATCAAATGACTAGAAAGGCAGAACTAAGAGAAATAATTCCGTACTTTGAACAAAATCTGGGGCAAAGATACAGGCAAGGTTTGTCTGCCTGAAATTATTGTGGCATTATTTACTGCATCAATAAAATTTTATTTATTGCCCTCTGCAGAAGTGAAAAAGTATTCATAGGGAGGCCCTCTCTATATAACATTTCTTAAAATAAAATGTGGAAGGCCACAAAGCTAACAACGCTATACGCCTCAAGTGGTTGTAAATGTTTTCAGTTTGGGTAGATATATTGCTTACGAAAGCGTAATCTTAGCATAGCAGCATTACTGTAAATGCTAACATGTTTAAAAGCTCAAGAAGTGGGGCTACGACCCAAAAGTTAACCCCATACTCAAAGCTAGCACCAAGGCTCACTCCAGAAAGTATTCTGCAAGAAGCTGAGCTATTCTGAAAGCCAAAATTATGCTAGCATAGATAGTGATCCACTAGAATTACTTAATTTGCTATCGCATGTGATTCTGATCTGCCCTAGTAAAAGCTGCTCCTGTTCTTCGTTTGCAGAAATCAAGTCCTAAGAGAATGAATGAATCCTAATTAGAAACACGTCCTCTCAGCAAGAAGAATGAGCTATGCAATCGTATCCATTTTAATATTGTTTGATATGACATATCAAAACATTTTAATCAGCACTGCAGCAACAAAGGCCAATGGGATTCTGGGCCACATCCGCAGGGGCGTGATGAGCTGAGATAGAGATGTGATCACTCTACTGAGCACTTGTCAGGCTGAGCCTGGAGTCTGTGCCCAGTTCTGGTCTCCACAGTTCAAGAAAGACATGAACAGACTGGAGAGGGTCAAAAGGAGGGCCACGAACATGGTCAAACGGCTGCCCTATGAAGAAAGACTGAAGGATTCAGGTCTTCTCTCCATGGAGAAGGCTCAGAGAAGATCTCATCCCAATATACCAGTACTTAAAGGGCAGCTACAAAGAGGACAGAGGCTCTCTCTTCACAAGGAGTCACACGGAGAAGACAAGGGGCAAAAGGTACAACTTGCAGCAGGAGAGGTTTCATCTTGACATAAGAAAGAAATTTTTTACAGTGAGATCAACTACTAGAACAACCTCCCTGCAGATGTGGTAGAGTTCCTGTCACTGGAGGTTATCAAGATGTGATGGAACAGGATGCTAGATAATCTCTTCTAGGTTCTTCTTCCCATAGGCTGGACCAGGTGATCTTTTGAGGTCCCTTCCAACCTGGACTATTCTACGGTTCTATGATACATCAAAGTGATCTCCCTAGTGGCGAGTGACAGGATGAGGGGAAATGGCCTTAAGTTGTGCCAGAGAAAGTTCAGGTTGGATATTAGGAAGAATTTCTTTACTGAGAGGGTTGTCAGGGATTGGAACAGGCTACCCAGGGAGGTGGTTGAGTCACCATCCCTGGAGGTGTTTAAGAGACGGGCAGATGTTGCGTTGAAGGACGTGGTTTAGTGGTGTTGATAGGGATAGGACACAGGTTGGACTCAATGATCTTGAAGGTCTCTTCCAGCCAAAACTGTTCTATGATTCTTTTAACATTATCTGAAGTAGTCTACTGTGGGCATTAATTAAAATACAAGTTTCCAAATGAAATATGCAGGTCTGCTCTCATTAAAATATCTCATTTGCAGCTCAGTGGATTCCAAGTGTTACTAGCTTATTACACTGTCTTTCAATTTGTTATTTAAAAGATCTTTAAACACTCCCTCCTCTAAAATTACGGGGTTTTAACATACAAATTATAAACTTTGCCCTTTGTATATCTCAACGAAGAAGCACAGCTGTTGAACACCAATTATAATACTCCTTCTACTGCATATTACATCTCAAGTTAGTCTATGTAATCCAAGTTCATTATCATATCATAAAACAGTGCTACAAAGATTCTTTTAAAATCATGACTAAAAGGAAACAGAAGCCTAGCAATCTCAAAACCACACATTGATTAAATTTTAGTTCTTAATTAGGTCGTTGGTCTGCTACAGGAAAATAAAGGAGAATCAGCTTTCCATCAAGTCTAAAGTATCTTTTTTTTTTTAATAGGTTTATTCTACTTCCATAATCTAACAATTAAGATTTACTTGCCTATGATAGCAGATTATTTAGAATGAGATATGATAGACCACAATACATACACTACCACTATAAAATTTGTATTTTACAGCTACTCTTCTTCCAGAGAGAAAATATGCATTTTGAATGATAGTGTGAATTCTAAATAAAAAATGGTTGTTTTGTTGCTACATTATTCATAACTAAAACCCAAAACTTAAAAATAATTTTTCTACAAAATCAAGGTTTTAGAATAATTAAATTTAAGAGACTTATCAGCCTCCTCCAATACCCTGTAAAAATAAAGCAGAATTTTAAAATAGCCATTATATTAATATAAATTAAATATTCTTAATATCCAATCAGAACTCTTAAAAATTTTGTAACACTGAGCAATGAAAGGAAATGAAAATAGTTACTGTAATATTTCATTTTTCCAGTTCCATTTTAAGATTCTGTCGTGTGGAAAAAGCACATGGTAACATTAGTTGAAAGACAAATTTTATAAATATGGCCCTCAACAAGCATGAAAAAAGTGTAAAACCCAACATTGTAGCCAGACAGTGCAAATTAAATTATTTGGGTCCAAATCAGTTTATTTACAAGACAAATACAGTTACCTGCCAGTCAGAAAATAAAAAGTATATTAGATAAAACTGAGTGATGGTGACAGTCAGTACCCAACACTGAAATGTCCGATGTATTAAGTTTTACAAGATACTACTCAGCTGCAGTCACACAGTTTACTGTTCTTTTAAGTAATACAGGAATTTAATGATATAAGGCATTTTACAGATACACAATTCAGACGATCTCAGCATCTTCATTAAAAAGTACGCCTGTACCATCAACACTGAAATACCATAATTCACAAGCCCTTTGAAGATCACTTTGATAACACCCCCCTCCCACAGGAGCTCATTACTCTCCTTAGCAAAGCACGAGTATTGATATACTCAGATCCCTATGGCATATTCCTTTATAGTTCTAAATTCATAGACTCAATCTTATGGTTTTCAAATTTATCCAACTATGCATAAACACAGAGAAAATAAAAGCATATCTATTAAAGTATAACACAATGGCCCTATGGTTGATCTAAAACCAGGTGATTATATATTGCTTACCTAGTCCTAAAAGGTCAATAGTGGGTTCTGATGACTTTTTTGGACTTGCTTTAGCTTCTGATTGTTGATCCTCCTTCTTCTGTGGCTTTAAAGGAAACAACACAAACACAACCTTTCAGAAAAAGATACAGTGCCTAAAATGCTCTCATTAAAGATGCTGTTCCAGTATCAGAAGTAAAAGCCCTTTTCTGTATTTGTTTATCATAGTGAATTTGATTTGTAATGAAAGAAATTGCAACTATGGTCCTAAGGGACATGGCACATGACTGTGAAAACACTGGTAGTTTTTACATACAGATAGATTAAAAATAAACTGAAGTCTTAAATTGAACCACTGCATATTGTGCACTAGGCAAAAAGCTGCCTATAATTTGATTTATCGTCTAATTTCAGTATCCATATCACACAGTTCTATAGCATTAAAGAGAACAATCTTCAAGTCTTTAAAAGCTTAATTTTAAAAATTAGAAGCAGACTAATGACCTTCCTGAGAAGAGCATCTGCAGAACATGCAGATTTTACAGATGCTAAGCACCGATGGACACAATCTGTTTTCATAATCTTTTCCTTTGTAAATCTGAAGGCAAATAACAGCATTCTTCACCTTCGGAAAAGGGAACTCCTTGTCTTTTCTTGCCTAGAGACTTCATAATGTAACATGGTATCGACGCGAAATTTGATTAGGAAAATGACTTCATAAAGATGTTTATAGTTCTTCTCATACCAATATCAGACTGATCAACCAAATTCATCACAACATCCTTTTTAAAAATTAATATAAACTGGCTTACAGTAGTGACATGACAAATGCATTCTCTCGTCTGCATTTAATATGCATTTACTTCTCACTTATGACAAAAACATGAAGTGGATTGGTTGATCAATAAGTACAGCCTTTAACTGGAACAGGTTACAAAATAACATCAGTGGAGCACTGTCAGGATGGGCACTGTGCTGACACCAAGAGAACCTGCTTCACTCCCACCTTTACTATGCCCATAATTGTGGCTTTGACAGAGTCACTGAGGCTCCTGTAGTTGATAAAGTCGTTAAATCTTAGTATTTAGTATTAGGAGAACTTTAGAGTTGAACACACAAGTATAAAGTTCTTATTTAGGTAATCCTTTATTTTCCTCTCCTGCAAACTGGGGGAAAAGTGATGAGCTTGGTGTTTGTAAAGAGTGTTCAAAGATGGCCCAGGTGAACAGAAGTCTGCGATAGTACTGACACTCCGTTTAGGTGAGAAGCCCCCAATGAAAACCTCCAGGGAAGAGCTCCAAAAAACTGAACTCCACATCTGCAGCTACAGGAAACAGGTACCTTCCAAGGCCAGGCTGGACGGGCCTCTGAGCAACCTGGTCTGGTGGGAGGTGTCCCTGCCCGCGGCAGGGGGTTGGAACTAGATGATCTTTAAGGTCCCTTCCAACTCAAACCATTCTATGACTTTATGACCTTCACACTCCAAGTGATCGTTGCTAATGTCTCACACAAATATCTGCTTCCTCTTGCCAGAAATCCTTGTGTTGTATTTACATATCTTGTTCAAGATCAAAATTGTTAGGGAAACTGCCTGCTAGGAAAACATTCCATGGATTCCCTGATTCTATATTGCATTGCAACTTTCACCTTTGAGCATATGATCTGCCGAATACCACACTGATTCCAAAGGAGATATTCCAATATTCAAATTCCAATATTGCAAGGAAAAAAGCCCTTGCATTAGGTAAAAGAAAAAAGTGTGTGTTTTTTAAATAAAGTGTTTTCATATCAAGATTTTTCTTTAAGTGACCATTCAAAATGAGGTTTTCTACAACTGACCAGATCCCAGCAAATATGCTGTATTTATCATTATTATTATCATCATTATTAATAGTGAGTATTTCAGAACAGAATTTATCATCAAAATTTGCAATTTGCAAATTATTAAATGCATATTTCTGTTTCATCGCCCCGAATAAGAAAAGCAATGAAGATACATGATGTATAAAAAAATTAATTTCTAATAAAAATAAGATCCTTTAAGAGACCTTTTTCCAGTATCATTACTATATTTCTTGATCATCACTTTCTTTCCCATTTTGCTCCCTTGCCAGTACATAAATAATAGGCTTTAAGGCTACTTGACAGTTACTTTAAGAAGCTACTTTAAGAAAGACTGTAAAATTATTTTCAAGCTTTTTAGTATGGCAAATATTTCTAGCAACTAACACTGCATTCATTTCCTTCATGGAAATTTTCTACTTCAAGCACTATTCAGCTGCTTTACACCTATACAGTTTTCACTAACACTCCAGTCTGAAAAATGGGAAAAAAAAGCTATTAGTCACCTAACAATTTACCAGGACTTCATCTGTACAACAGTGGTCACACAAAGCAATATTCAGCAACTATCTGAAACAAAAAAAACCTTCCTCTTACGCTATTTTAACTGCAACACTATGTTGTTCCCCTCATTCTCTCATTGTAACAGATACCAGTTGCTGGAATTTCCTATCCCATCAGAGATTTCAAACAATTTTAAAATTTGGTATGCCTTTAAAACGTTTCACGCCCCATACGAGGGCTTTTGTGCAAATTCAGAAGGCACTTGTTTGGTGGAAAGGGACTTCTCAAAAGTCACCCAACACTTAGGCATAAATGAAGTAAGGTTGGCACTAACGGTAAGAGTTAGAACAAGAAACTTGCATGCATGCAATTAATTTAAGAATACTTACATAACCCCTCTTTGCCATATCACTTCTTAAGACAGTCTTGTTCCCTCTTTGCCCCTTGGATCTTGGGCTACCTGACTATACTGAGGTCCACTTGAAGAAGGTTTAGCGGAAAGCAATGCCTTACGAATGCGTGCTGTAGTTCATGTCCCAATTCTGAATTAAACTAGGTGTTGAAACTTTCAAAACAGAACAAAAACTGAAGCCACTTGAAAATTTTGTTCTAAATTGCAAAAAGAAATATGATGTTTAATTTCTTTTTAGTAGATTTGCTCCAACAGGACTCATGTGTGACTATGCTTTATGTAAAGAGTGGTCTTTTGAAATGGTAAAGCTAAATACCACACACAGCAAGCATAGAAGTGTGCAACAGGCTAAAACCTAGAGAACAAGGCAGTAACATTTCTTAAACTTGATGTTTCATTTATCTAAAAATTAAGCTTTTTGTAGAAGTGCAATATAGCATGACAAATGCTTGGGAATCCTGCTGCACTGAGATTCATCTCGGTTTCTATTACAGGCCCGCTTAACTCCCATAGCAATTAATTTTAAGTATTGACACGAGTGCTAGATAAACTATTCTTTGTAGGGTTCTTTGAAAAAAGGCTGCATAGAAATAGGAGACTAAGCAACATTAAATAGACTAAAAATAGCATTAAAAATCTACTATGAAAAAGCCAAGTAGAAGGGAACAGGTACACAATTTTCCGCATTTATTTTCAAATGGAGCCTTCAAGGCTACTGGGGCTACTTTTTTTTTTTTTTTTTTTTTTTTTTTCCCCCCCAACATTCAAGGTTGGCTTAGCAACATACATAGTTTCATTAAGTGAAGTACATAGTTATAGCAATTTATAGATATACTTACTTCAGGTTGTATATTAACAGATTCTCATTCAACATCATTTTTATGGTACTAGAACGTTCTTCTGAAACACTGTCCTTGCTAACACGAGAGCATCAAAATATCTTTGATACGTGGGCCTTACATTTCCATTTTTCACAGTTGTCACTAATGGCCACTACACTATTCTTCAAGGCCGTTCTCACACTGAAGTATCTATTGAAAGCAAGCACCATCCTCTGCCTTAAATTATTCTGAGGTTACTGAAAATGGTTTATTTGCAAATATCACTGGAAGAAACTGAGGCCAGAACAAGCTTCTAGGAAGTCAATTCTTTTGCATCGTTCACATGATAAACTTACTACGTAGCATGACTTATAATTTTCTGCCTTAAGAAAAACTGAGCCCTTGTTCTGAAAAGAGCCACAATAATCCGTTTAGGTTATTAGGTTTTAAGTACTTCAGCCAACTTAAGGAGGCAAATAAAGAATTAACCTTGCAACCTCTTTCAAATATTTTCACCTTATAGGTGAAAATAGCACATCTCTTCAACAGGAGAGCAGGGATATGCTTATCATTTAGATCCATTATGGGTATGATAGAATTTTGCAATCATGCAGATGACAGATAACTGGGATACAGTAATCCTTTATTGCGTTGATGCATTTTGTTTTTTGCTTGTTTTCCCAATGCTTTCCCCCTTTAACCTTTTATTTAAATATATTCGTCATTTCTATCTTCAATGCCAAGAAGGAAGATCCAGGGAACTACTGGCAGCGCAACCTCACCTCGTACATAGGAACGTGATGGAACAACTAATCTTGGAAACAATTTCCAGGTACATTAAGAACAAGAACATAATTGGGAGGAATCAGCATGGCTTCACTCAGTGGAAGTCATGCTTGACCAACCTGTTAACTTTCTACAGTGTCATGACTGGCTTGGTAGACAAGGGAGAGCAGGGCATATTGTCTACCTTGACTTCAGTAAGGCTTTCGGCATTGTCTCCCATAGGATCCTCATAGAGAAACTGATGAAGTATGCATTAGATGAGCAGACACTGAGGTGGATGGAAAACTAACGGAATGGCCGGATCCAGAGGGGCGTGATGAGCCTAGCTGGAGGCCAGTCACTGGTGTTGTATACCAAGGACTGATACTAGGTCCAGTTCTGTTCAGTAGCATTAACGAGCTGGACGATGGGGCAGAGTGTACCCCTCAGGAAGTTTGCAGGTGACACAAAACTGGGAGGAGTGGCTGATATGCCAGAAGGTTGCGCTACCATCCAGAGACCTCAGCAGGTTGGAGAAATGGGCTGAGAGGAACCTCATGCAGTTCGGCAATGGGAAGCACAATGTACTGCTCCTGAGTGGGAGTAACCCCAGGCATCAGTATGCTGGGAAATCACGAGCTGGAAAGCAGCTTTGCAAAAAAGGATCTGGAGGACCTGTTGGAAACCAAGTTGACCATGAACCAGTAATCTGCCCTTGTAGCCAAGGCGGCTAATAGTATTCCCTTGGCTGCATCAGGAAGA